ATGTCAACGCAAGAGAAAACATCTACGGCTACACACAACTTTGCATACTGGTTACATTCCAGMGATGACACTGATGCTGGGTTGATTGCTCAGACTGAAATTCCTGTAAATGACCCAAAGGTGAAAATTATTTACTTCCGAAAGGCTAATATTCCTGTCAATTAATGATAATTTTGTTACCTTTTTAAACAAATGTCATTTTTTTACATGTAGATTATTGACACTGATTATATAACCAAGAGAAGTAAAGAAGTGATTGTGGAGATTTTCCAAAAAAGCTATATGTCTACTTGGGTTAGTCGAGCAGAGCAAGCCTCATCTGTTCAACTGGGTGAACTGGAAACACTTGAAGAAAACTTGAGGCAACTAGATGAATCAGAACACTTGGTATGCACATAAAATTTGTTTGTACCACATATGTATTCCATTGACTAATATGTTGCAATGAATATATAAATATAAGAAAGGTTTTCATGGCACTAAAAAATTGTTTTCTAAACAGCTTTTTCTTAGGAGGCAGACCAAGAAACTAGCAGAATTTGAGAAATTCACTACCCACCCACTTCATARCAACAGGTTTCCAGTCGCACCATATGCAAAAGTTGAGGGAGGACTACGGCTTGAAAACATTCACCTTGTTGATTGTAAACCTGGTACATAATAAAATATACAAAACAGTAGTAATAGTTAAATTTATGTATTTGGACCTAAACAAATACCAGATATAAGAAAACATACACATGCATATACATATGATTTATGCACAGCTGTATCAATGCACCCATTTAATGGTAGGGATTGATCTTGGACTAGGTTTACTATATAATCGTAGAGTCCTGTTACAGTGCTATTGTATTCACTTCGATCATTTTCATAAAAGTAAAAAAAAAATGTATTCTTGTGCAAAGTTGCTTCCTTTTTATTAATTAGAAGGGGACAAGCATGTGATTTTGGAATTTTATCCACAGGTTATGTTAAATCTGTAAACCAATTAATAGATGTATGGTGAGACGTCAAGGAAAAAATGCCAGACATTTTTGTAGGACAGTGCATTCCAACTCCTACAGATTACCCATTATTTAGAGATGGACTTAGAGCAGTGTATGCAGATGAGCATAAGGAAGAATTCAGTACCTGTATGGTTCCACTAGCTGGTAATAACCCAAAATAAAGATTCAACCAATATATAATACAATTTGAAAATTGTGATTCATTCTCACACTTACCTCATGTGTGTTCTTTCACAGCTAACTTCCACATGGGCAAGAGTGCACACTCTGGACTATTCATCCATTATTATGAAATTATCATTCTTCCACTTTACAATTATCTCCATCCTAATGCAACTCCTATCAGGCCAAACACAAGATTTGGAAGGCAAGCATACTATCTGTCAATAATGCGAGAAGCATGGCTTATTGTCCGTGAAGATATTCTCAAGTGTGCATTGCAAGCTAATCAAAGGTAGTAAAAAATATATGAATGAATAATAAAAACTTTGGTTATGCTTACTGATAATACATTACATAACTAGTGTTAATCTGAGTGAAAATGTCAACTTTGTTTTTGTTTTG